TCGGACTACCGCAGCGTACATCCGACTCTTCTCAAAAAACCAGATGTCTCGAATACGCCATAGATGTCTCAACTTATATTTATGTATTTTGCATTTGTCTAAGGACATACGGTGTGCCAAGCGAATCATGGTACAATAATCTTCATGAAAGAAAAACGTTCCATGATTGGCTTGTGGACTGAGTACTGCCAGGTTGCCCAGGCCAAGGCAGGTGAATCTTGAAGGATCCATAACCGGAGCCTTCTGCTAGCCAAAGCCTGACCCGCAATATAGCGGGGCGGTGTGAAAACCGCAGTCCATTGGGAGCCGGTGTCCAGTTCATCGGATAATACGTCCTTCGGACGGGATCAAACGTCCAAGATGCCCAATACACTTCAATGCCCAGTTGAGCCGGCGACCACTGCGTCAACCAGGAAGTTATGTAGAAGGTTCGTACGCCTCCACATGATTAGTTTGGGATGGGGTTTTTCGGCCAACTCTTCTGGGTGGACTAGTAGTGGTCCACCAACCCGGTTATAGCTCCAGATGTCGGCTTTTAGTCCTCTCACTTTGGTGGGAAACACCTCTGCCACGAGAAGGCAGTGAGTAGGGCTTCGTCAGCAGAGGCTATTTGAGACGCTTGGTCGTATGGAAGCATTTCACGAGGTGCAAGGGAAGAGTGACCAGCCTCAACCCACTGCACACACCCATGACCATACTGAGGCTTTCGAAGGCGATGTCTCAACTAAGACCTAGGTATGGGTGCCAAAAATTCATCTGTGATGCGTCCGACAGCTGAGATCTAGCTGCCCCAACAGTAAGATTTCGTCTACTTTGTCTATTGTTCTCTCAGGTAAAGTTAAGCTGAGAGCTGAACCAATACAGTCCATTAGCAACATTTTTCACTTCGAATGTGCAAAACGCATGCCGAAAATGGCTACGTAATCGCTCAACCAATCCAGAAAATTTTATAGCATACTTGAATCTTCAGTTAGCAGTACGTGATCGTCTGCGTAATCCTGATTAGACAGTTTTTCACATGGAAGTTAGTTGATGCGCATGAGGGAGAAAGAACAGCACTGAAGAACACCACTTCCTCTAGTGAACAGCCCTAAGCTCGAACACGACTTCGGTTATTGCTACGAATGGATCGTAATATAGAAATAAACTTATACGGCACATCATCACCAGAGTGCATAGGCTTTGATTGAGTCTAACAGCCACTTTTAGACCAAGGAAATAGGTCGCCATCTCAATGTTACGTACCTTGGCTTTTTGCGTCAGGGCATGATGTGGTGAACATATCACCCCGAATGTTGATGCAACATTTGCAACCCGCAAATTTTTCACCTGTGCGAAACAGTGAAACATGATACAGAACAGATGTTAGGTCCGCCTAGCACGGCTTTGACTATCACTATAAAGGGATCTTCCTAGGCGCACCCTCCAAGAAGAGACAACACCAGAGTACAGAGCAGTCGATTGAGTAGGAGACTGCTTATAGATCAAGGGAGGTGGAAAGGTTGGGTCTACGAAAGGAGTGTTGGTGTTCCAGAATTTAGCGAAATGAGAATGTGGTCATTGCAACCTCGACCAGTTCTAAACGAACCTGTTTCTTAGACGTCCACTGATGACTTGCTGCAGACAGGTGATGGAGTTTGGTTCCAGTGAGCAGCTTAAAGACAATGTTGGTTAAACTAATTCACCAGAGGACGAATTACCTTTCAAACTGGTAAAATGACCTACTCATGCCAATCACTCGAACCCTTTCCCGCACTGAGTTTTAGTTTTTACAACCATTAACCACGCAATTTCGTGTGCTGATTTTGGTTGCTGTCTTTTGGTCGCCCATTTGGATAAGAGAGCAGAATAGAGATTGGAATGTTGAGCGCAGATTCAAGGGGACGATGGAGGAGAATTCATACAAACTGAGATTGCAAGAATAATGAGTGGATGCATGAACGCCACTGCTTGCGACACCCAGCCATATCACTCAGCGTATCTAAACATCGGCGACCTTGATCTCGGGTCCCCATCCAGGGAACCTAACGGGACCTATGTGACCCAGTCTCCTGGTTAGGGTTTTCATACCCTCATGCCAGGTCTTAGTTTGACCGCCCTTAACCTTTTTCCATCCGCTACCTGTCTCGACAAACATCGCTTGCCGTGGCAACTTATTTGGTGACATGCGTAAAACACGCCCCAACCAATGTAATCCATGCTCCAGTGGACGACCACGACTACCTAACCTCAGCATTGCTCTTCCGGTTACCCCACCAGACTCGTGCAATGCGGTGTAGACAGCGGTGTTCGAACACCGACAATCTATTTTTATCCTGTTCCCGTAGTGGCCTAGTCTCTGCACCGTATAGCAAAACTGGCCGAACTGCCGCAGCATACACTCGACCCTTCACAGAAAACCGGATGTCGCGATGGCCCCACATAAGTCTCAAGTTGGCAAATGCCGACCGAGCTTTCTGTATGCACGCCGACACTTCATCCGTGATGCGTCCGCCAGGTGAGATATAGCTGCCCAGATAACAAAGTTTCTCTACTTTCTGTACGACTTCCGCAGTCAGAGTGCGTTTTTTGGCTGGACAAACCCAACTTATCTCCCGAGTGACCTACATTTTAGAAGGCGACCGAATGCAACTAGCATTAGTTGTTCAGTTTAAGCAACGTCGATTAAAGCCAGTTGAATTGTGACTTAATGTTCGGCTCGTCGTTCAAGACTGCATTTTTTTTATTACACACGAAGTGATTTACAGCAAAAGGGGTAAACCCCATAATCAATGATATACTATAAGGGAAAGCATTTGGGGGAACATCCAAGTAAGAACCAATTTGTTAATCCTGTCTTTAAAAAGGGTAAGAGCTGGGAAACACGAAAATTGGAAGAGTGTTCCACAATTTCGCAGTCCTCGGGAAGAAAGAAGATTGAAAGATAGAAGTCCGACATCTGGGGACAGAAACCTGATAAGGGTGACTAGTCGCCTGATAACGAGATGGACGAGAGAAGGGCAATGGAAGGGGAACCACAGAAACGAGTTCGGAATAGCAGAAACCAAAATAGTAACGATAGAAAAGAGGTAACGAAGCAACTGCCCGGCGATAGGAAAGCGACTGTAGATTGGAAGTTAAAGACGGTTCGTCGACCAGCTGGATGACTTTACGTTGAACACGGTCGAGGAGAGAAAGAGCGGAATACGAAGTCCCACCTCACGCGTGACTGCAGTATTCAAGCATCGGGCGGATTTGAGCTTTGTATAAAAGAAGAAGGTGCGGGGTGTAAAGAAACACCTTGCGCGGAATAGAAAACCACCTTTGCGCGCAGTGCGAGAGGCAAGTGTGGAGATAAAAGGGGACCAACAGAGAGAAGAATTTATGGATAAACCCAAGAGGAAGAGAGTTTGTGGAACGAAGGGGCAGATAATCAAAAATCAATTGAGGAGCACAGGAGACATGTTTAAGAGAGACTGAGAGAAGAGAAGTTTTGGAAGCATTGAAACACACATGGTTGGTAGAATCCCATGCGGAGATTAGTCCGAGATCGGAGGCAAGAGAAGCACTAATGACATTACGATCGTGATCGATGTTGGTGTTAGCTTGATGGATTGTGGGGTAAGACAGAGAACAATGGAGACTGGCATCATCGGCAAAGCAGTGGATGGGATTAGATGTTTGGGATAAAAGATCGTTGATAAATAAGAGAAAGGGTGGGCGAAAGTATGAAACTTTGGGGATCACCGGCGTTTACAGGAAATGGCCGAGGTAGAACCCCATCTACTCGGACGGAGATGGTTCGCTGGCTGAGGAAACAACGAAGTCACGATACCAGAGACGGTTGGAATCCAAACGTGGGTAATTTCGACAGCAGACCTTCATGCCAAACGCGGTCGAAGGCCTTTGAAATGTCGAGCAAGACCATGTGAGTTTCTCCGTGGTAATCGAGTGCAGCCGACCAGGAATGTGATGTGAGCTCCAGTAAGTCACCCGTAGATCGACGTGGGCGAAATCCATACTGGCGGTCATTTAACAAACCTTCTCGTTCGAGAAACGTACGCGGTTAATCGGGGATAATGGTTTCAAACAATTTCGAGATTACAAATGTAAGATTAATGGGACGGTGGTTGTTAGAGTAGAAAGGGTCGCCGCGCTTTGGGATTGGAAAAATAATGGCATTTTTCCATGGAGAAGAGAAAGATTTAAGTTTGAGTGAATAACAGAAAAGGTGGTGTAGAACAGGAGTTAACTCTGGGGCACATTTTTAGGACGACAGGTGGAATACCGTCCGGACCTGGTGGTTTACAAACATCCAACCCACGAAGAGTTTGGTAGACCTTTCTGTTATGATAGGTAGAAAGGAATGACTGAATGTGTAGGAGGAGGGTTAAACGGTAGAGGCAGCAGATAAAGTGGAGTTGGAGGCAGACCGGGAAGCGAAGACCTCTGCTTTTTCGTGGAGATCACAAACAAAAGTACCAGAGGAATTGCAAATGGGAGGAAGGTTGGAAGGGCAGAAATTACATGAAACCGCTTTGGCGAGGGACCAGAATGTTCGGTTACCGGTGGTGGAAGAAGCCAGGCACGCAACTTTGTGACAAATAAAGCATTCTTTAGCTCTTTGAATAGTGATCGAGCATTTGTTTCTGGCTTACACGAATCGGTTACGGGATGCTGGATTGGGTGAGTGGCGCCAACGACGGAATGCTGAGTTTTTAAAACGTACAGCACGGTTGCAAGCGTGATTAAACCATTCAGGGGATCGTGATTTGCCGAGTGTGGAGTATAAAGCTACATGCTTTAAAGAACAATCTCCGTGAAGTTTAAAACAGACTTGGAAGCATCCGATTTAAAACAACAATCCTTCCATGGATAACAAGCCAGAAAGTCACGAAAACCGTCCCAGTTGGCTGAATCTTAACGCCAAAAGGTGCGTCCGGAGTTTGGTGGTGAAATGGAGTGAGAGAAATGAGACAATGGTCCAATGAGTCTAATGGGGAAAGGGAAGTGATGTTGGAGATAGAATGGATGTAAGAATGAGGTCAAGCCTGTGGGTGCGGTCACCAATACGATCAAGGATGCGTGTGGGGAGGTCAACTAGTTGACTTAGGCTGTTGACCACAGCGAACGCCTCGGCTTCGCGCCCCATGAAGGTGTACTGTTAAACTCCTTAATTACCTCATGCTTCCTTTTCTCTGGTCTCCGTACTCCTGATTTAACGAAAAAGGATCACAGGCACCTGCATATCATTCTGTTTTGTCCTATCTCGCTCTTCTTTTTGTTGATAAGGGGAAAGTTTCCACGGAACTAGGTAATTAGTGATAATAGCTACTGTCCGGTTTATTCAAATTTTATTTCTCCCGATACTGTAGTTTTTTATCCACATGTATGTTGTAAAAAGCTGAAAATTCACTCGCCCGGGGTGCGTAAAGATACTAGTGACCTTACTTGATTTTGCAACTTTAGCTCATTTTGTCAGCGATTACTCGTCCTCGATACTAGTCCGGTTTGTATATTCCTCAGATCTTAGCGCACTCCCAGCGAAATGCTGTTGGTCAATCCCCAATCATCCTGACCCTAACGATTTACGGTGCTGCACATTTTTTTGCTTCTACAGGCAAACTCACCGAGGACACAAATACTTACAAAGGAGTTGTGATCAAGTATAATGAACCGGAGGATGCTCGTAAACCAACAGAGAAGTGGCGTCTATATGCATTCAAAGGCAATCAGACATTGCCTATTTTGCACATCCATCGACAAAGTGGATTTCTCATTGGTCGTGATCGTAAAATTGCTGACATTCCCATGGACCACCCCAGCATATCCAAACAGCATGCCGTGCTGCAATATCGGTTTGTAAGTTTGTATTGTATTTTTATAACTTGTGTAACTATATATGCTTACGTTTCAGTTAAAAATGTATACTGTTCGTCACGCGGAATGAAATAATAATAATAATAATAATAATAATAATAATAATAGCAATAATAACAATAATAGCAATAACGAAAACAATAAAGAAATATAAAACGAAAGGTAAAAAATATCGCTGATATCTGTTTCATGTACAAATTTTTTGACGTAGTTCACTTGCGACCTGTTCCTTTTCGGTTAGGAGTCGGGCCGGGTAGGGTACAGGGACATTTTTATAAATGTTAATGCGAGAGATAAGTTGCCGAAATGAGAAGCGTGTGAACGGATGGGAACGACAAGACGATAGCCCAGGGTGCAGTGGATGAAGAGGGTCATCTAGAATCTTATGAGTAAATTGAACACAAGAGTTGATGTGACCATCAATGAGTTCTGTGACTAATGAATCGATCAGAATTAATGATGCACGACTAATGATCATCAAGGCAAGTCGAATTGTCGTGGAGTCTTGCTTTAAAAGACCGGGAAACACTACAGGGGATACATAGAGTAGCATGGGTAAGACGCATTGATGAACGAAATCTGATAGGACTGATTGTGGGGTTTGGAATTGCCTGAGTTTGCGTAACTGAAAAGATAGGNCACACAGTTGTAAATATCTGTAGACCAACGAAGATTGCTGTCGATGGTGACACCCTGGTACTTCACTGAGGTCATTCTAGATACAGGTTTATCGTTAAGAATAGCAGAGTCCGTTGGAAATGAGGAGCGGGAAAGACTGAAAATACACTCTACGCACTTAGATATGTTAAGACTGAGACCAGATTGGTCAGAAAACTGTTGGATGTGGGATAGATTTTCAGGCTTTAACCACCTTGCTGCTGATCACTTTTCAACCACCGGAGGACGTAGACCAGCATATAATTACTTGTTAAAGATCTGACCTCAGTCACTTTTCGAGTTGTATACTATGTATATCCATCCATATTTCGCCTAGAATAGAACACCTGAGAGGTATGCGAGTGTCGTTGATTGAATTAAATGATTTTATTGCGAAGTACCAAATTAGTGTCGTTATATCTTACACTTGTATCGGGTATCAAACAACTGATGGCATGAGCACCTTCGCGACTGAAATAAATCTATGGTTAATTCGTTGTTGCCATACTACCAGATTATAAAAGCCAATCCAATTTATCCCATTTGGTTTTCACAACCGAAGCTTTCAGCTAGCCAAAAGCTGACCGGTAAGATCATCGGACTGATCATTAAAACCGCAATCCACTTAACTTCGGAGGCGGTGTCGGATTTGAAATGCGGTCCACACAACTGTGTTGGTGAATGCGCTGTTTGTTCAATCGAATCTGTTATTCTCACTGCCCGGATACCCTGAACATAGTTCATACGCTTCTTGGACCGTTTTGAATGAGATTTGTAGTGCGGCGAAATGCAGATAATACAACCATCACCCGGCTCCTAGTATGTGTTCATCGTGGCTGGATGTCAAAATAAAACGATTTCAGGTTCACTTAAGGTGGTTTACTTCTAGGGCGTCTCTCTTGAGCATCGTATGCTTTTTATCCCTTAAGGTGACTGTAATTGTCCACATTCATTTATGGATAAATTCTCAACTTTTATGAAGAACAACAATGGTGAGCATCTTTACTAGATTTTGTGTGAAATGTGCTTTCAGTGTTCAGAAACAAATCCTACCAACGATTCGCATTCTGCACTGTGACGCTTTGCATGTTTCGTGTAGTCTGGAAATATTCTTGAGGTTTTTCATTCTTTTATTTCAGGTTAAAGGGTTAGTCCGCCTGTATCTCATCGATTTGGACTCGGTCAACGGTACTTATCTGAACAATGAGAAAATCGAGCCGCGTCGCTACTACGAACTGATCGAGAAAGATGTTATCAAATTCGGCTTCTCCACACGGGAATATGTTGTCATGACGGCGAATTTAGATGAAGATGATGATGACAGTGATAACTGACTTTTGTTACTAAACCGCTGATGTACAGATGTATAAATCCCCTTATTCCCATTGCGTTCCATTTTCTTTAGCGGGAATGTATTTCTGGTTTTCGTATTGCGTTACTCATGAGTAGCCCATGTATAAACTGTGACATCTACTTTTTGCTGGTTCGTTTGGCTCATACCCACACAAAGATGAAAAGTTCTTCATGCACCGACCATGCAATGATGTTTTCACAATGAGAAGTCTTATTCTTAATCGATGCTTCTAAAAGCTCCAATAATGCGAAGCATGTAATAAAATGAATTGTATGAGTTTTTGATAAAAAAAGTATTAGTGAGAACGTACTAATAATCTATGTGAAAACGAACGCTAATTTTTCAAAATGCTAGTGATTTTACCGGTTTGTCATCGTTACAAAAGAAAATAGATTGTTGCTGAAACCAGTGACTCACACGATGAGTATGAAAATAGTTATCTGTAAACCAGGCTTCTCGTTATGTTGATTAAGAGCGCTTTACACTTTTGCGTAATAACACAAAATAGAGCCCCAAGATAGGATTCAAGTATCAGAACTATATGTATCATCCGCCCTCATGTTGGTCTTTTGCAAATTGATGTACAATGTCCCTCCCATAAACCGAAAATTAGTACACTTGTTCGTTCCCCGTGGGTTTCTGCCATCGGGAGAAGAGTGGGCGGTTAAAGGTGTGATTGGTCGAGTGTGTGCTGCAGCAGTTCGGCCGGTTCTTTTATACGGCGCGGAGACTTGGCCATTCCAAGAACAGGGCAACGATAATATTTCGGTCGTCGAACACCACTGTCTACATCGCATTGCACGAGGTATGTGTTGGGTGGAAAAGGTAAAGGGTGGTCAAACTCAGTGTGAAAACCCTGGCCAGGAGACTGTGTCACATAGGTCGCGTGAGGTACTCGCAAACGTTCATTACAATTTACGCTCAATTAATCAAAATGCCCCGAACATGGTCATTTCGTACCAAAATACCGCTACTTGGTGTTGGCAAGGGACCCAATACAGTGTCCATAGTATTGAGACTTAAGTGCATCGCCAGTTCAATTTCTATTGCTTAGTTTGCCTGCTAATATGAATGAGCATAAGGGTCTATTCCTTCTTTTTATCACTCATCTAGGGTATAATTATCAACAAGGTTTTTCGATAAAGGAACTCTTTGTTTTCTTCATAGTTCGATGTGATTGATATCTGGCGAATAGATTTGAATCGTGGTTGAGTCTCTCCATGGTTGAAACAATAGATAAACTAGATTACACAGTGTTATTTTGTCATTTAGGAGCCTGCGAAGCTGTAAGTAAAGGTAAGAATGGATGTGGTTGGTTCTCGAAATGCATTTCTATCTTTGAGAAGGTGGTGGCCAATTGGTTAGGTCACCAAGTTGTGACCCGGATTCTAACAGCTACCCATCTTCCCAATTTCTGTATTTTCCAGGTAGTCTTTGTATGACCGCGATCCACCGTCTTGAAAGTTGACTGTACATTGGTAAATTCAGTTAATAAAAAAGGAAGTAAAAAATTTCAAACGTTTCATTTCAAGTCACTGGTATACAGTTAAGACCAATCTTTACAGATACGGTGCCAAAACAACCGTGGGTGAACGCAAAATATGGAAACAGAAGCGGGGAAAGCAAAAGCAGTCATCTTGGGAAATAACAAATTTTTGTCTCAAAGTCACTGGTGATCATAAACAGATGTTTTTTAATCTAAATTAAGTATAGTTAACCGAATAAAATTATTCTTGGAGCAACCGACCGGTTGCTCATAAGTTATGCGTACACACCAGGTCTGTGCAAAGTCATTTCTATAATGTCATTTACGCTGCACCATCCTGATTTATATATCTAGGGTTTACTTAGAGATACCAACCTCAAAGAATTATCACGATGATTCTGTGATTCATTGCGACTGCTAAATGTGTTAAAACTGGACACCGAGGCCAATTTTTCATGGCGGTCAGGAACAAAATACCCTCCCGGGATTCAGTCACAACACTATCTTCGGTTCCTATTTTGGGGGTTGATATGGATCGTTTCTCTGTCTATCACGATTTTGCACAATTTTTTTTTCTAGGAAAAATGGCTCTTCGTTTGAACCTTTTGTTCGAGAAACAAACAGTGTACTTCTTTTTCCGTTTCGGCTTACTCTTACACATTCGTTATTTCGATTTCCAAACCGGTGCAAACATGTCATTTACCGCGAAAAGTTCTTCGTACCGGATACGGATGATAGACAGCAAATGGACGCACACGCTACCCAAGCCTCTCTCTTGCGCACACACAGAAGGCTGTCTTGAGGTCATCGACTGACGGACAAGAGTTCAGTCTAAACCGCTGAATCCTGTTCGGTTCACTGGGAGAATTATCGTTATCGAGTTAGACCCCCTCCTCCCTCTACCCTCTAATAGAATATGAAAAGTGCATCTTTTTCAGCATGGGCTGGGTGTGAGAGATTATTTTATCAGACGTTTACATTTCGATTTGTACTCCGGTCCAGATTATCACACATCATGCTCAGATGTTTTGTGCAAAGGCCGATGAACAGGTGTTCGATAGGTGCTCATTTCCGTGGTTGGCACATGACGGTATTTACTTTCGTGTCCTCAGGTCTTTGAACGATTCTCCGCATCACCTTTCACTGTTCGCACAGGTGACCAGAATGCTTGCAAATGTTTCCTCATCAGCCGAGATGATATCTTTGTCACATCGTGCCCTGACGCACAGAGCTAAGGTAAGTAATACATGCTAAGCTGTCTTCAGACATCTTCACGCGCGCGAGGCACTCGTAAGTTTAGCACTCATTTCTGTTCAATTACGGTCGTTTCAAAGGTTTTTACACTTTCCTCTTGCAAAAAAGATTTACATTCGTTTTATCCGCGGTTGAACATTGTGTGCTGATCTTTGTGTACGCCGCATTGCATTATGTAGTTTGTTGGGGTATCCGAACAAGCAACGCCACCGTCAGACACAAATTTTTGTAGATAATTGTCCAGTGAAGCAAANCTGTAGGTAGATAGGTAGGGTGTATGTTACGCATGTCACCGAATAGATTGCCACGTCAAGAGATTTCTAAAGCGATAGGTAATAGCTGGATATAGGCAAAGGTGGTCAAAATAAGACCTGACATCAAGAAGTGAAAATCCTCACTATTGGACGTAGACAGGTATGGACTCTTTCGGCTATATAACTGGGGGATAAGTGTAATCAATGGTTAGATAAACTGGGTAGTATGGCTGAGTGGCATAAACAGTGATGCTGTTGCATTTATTCTTTCATTTTGCAAACTTACTCCAACTGAATTCCTCCCTCTATTCATTCAATCCAGTGGGACAGCAACCCAATCCAAACCGCCTCATAAATGTGCCAGGTTGATTGTTGTTTAAACTAAACGGATAGTGATCTCGTTTTATCATTTCCGATTTCATTTGACATCTTTGATTTCGTTCATTCTCAGTGAAGTAAGTGTAAACCTTTGGTTAAGGTCGTCTCGGATGACGTAATGGGATTCCGAATGGAAGTGCGTTATTGCCAGATCAACAGGAATGTGTAAGGAACCGTTGGGACGCATTTTACAGTTGATTCATTCATCCTTGTTGAGCTTGGTCGCAACAATTGTTCCGAAATGGACGAGTTTTCATTATTTGGAATGATTTGTGTTATGGACACAGAGATAACGGGTTGATTGATTGAAAGTGGGTCATACACTTGCTTTGTGGCTGTATCGGTTCGGGTTCGATAATCCGATTGGTTGATTCGTCCACGCTGTTCAAGATGCAAAACTAATAATGAAAAACACTTTTACACCGTATTTTCTTTGCTTTTTGGTTCTCAGTCCCAGTGTATGGCATACGACCGATTCTGTTCCACATTGCGCTTCAGGGTTGTCCTCTCTCTCTGCTCTATCCTCGTGCGAGGATAGTGGCATCGATTTGCTCCCAAACGGCAGGCTGTCTGATCCGGAGTATGCAGACGACATTGTGCTGCTAAGTGAAGGTTCAGGTAAGTTACAAGCTTTTCTGGATAGCGTGAGTGCAAGCGTGTCCATGTTCGGTATGCGTTTTGCACCTTCAAAGTGTAAAATGTTGCTACAAGATTGGTTTGGTCCATCACCCCACCTCCCTGTAACTCGGGCAGTAACAGAGCAAGTGGATAAGTTTTGTCATTTGGGCAGCTATATCTTGCCCAGTGGACGAATCACAGATGAAGTGTCGGCTCGCATACAGAACGCTCGATTGGCTTTTACCAACTTGCGACATCTGTGGCACCGTCGTGACATTCGGCTGTCCATGAAGGGTCGAGTATATGCTGCAGCAGTTCTGCTATACGGCGCAGAAACTTGGCCATTAAAAACACAGGACAAAGATAGACTGTCGGTGTTTAAACACCACTGTCTACGCGGCATTGCACAAATCTGGTGGGGTAACCGGACGAACAATGCTGAGGTTAGGCGCAGAGTTTTGGGTGACCGCAGTCTCCCACTGGTGCAAGTAGTCGACCTCTATGGATTACGTCGGTTGGGGCATCTGTTATGCATGTCACTAGATAGGTTGCCACGGTGCGCGGTGTATGTCGAGGCAGGTAGTGGGTGAAATAAGGCCAAGGTTTTTCAAAGACCTGGTAAGAGGGTGTGGAAACCCTGACCAGGAGACTCGGTTCTTTAAGTCCCATTAGGCTCCCTGGCTGGGGACCTCAGGATGATCGTAACCGGAGGTTAGAGACGCTGAGTGNGCTGAGTGTCGTAAACAGTGAGGCTCGTGCCTCTCAACTTCTTTATAATCTTAGACCACCCGTGAAATTCTCCATTTTCTCTTTGACTCTGCTTTTTTTTCAAATTAAGCTTTATTTCAATCTTACTGTTTTTCTCCTACTTTTCATCCAAGTGTTGTCAGCAAGAGACTATTTAAAACTGGGGCACGGAAGTGCATGGTTGTACAAACTGATCTGCTGCGCATTGGTTGTTCCCGTATTACTAGAAAACCCACGCTATTC